GTTTAAAGTTACTTAGTTAAACCAATTAGAACGTTAGACGTATTAAACGTTGTCTTTCTTGAAAGTGAAGTCCATATACCGGAAGAAATACTGTAAAAATGACTCATTTTAGCACACTTTAAACTAGAAACAAAGCATATGTTTTATATATTTTTTGAATTAATAATGTTTTTTTTCAATCCTGCGCTATAAGTTTACTAAAAGTTACTAACCGATAAATCTTACATTTTCCCCCATTAGTAATTAAAATAGATCTATCAAAGTAGTCTTTTCATAAAAACAAAAGTACAAATTAAATTAACATTCCGTTAATTTGCATATCAAAGATCTTGTTATGAAAACAGATTATTTATCACCCAACTCAAATTTAAGGAATTTCTTTTCGCATATTGGATTTAGTTTAGATTATCAAGCAAACATAAAAAACGAAAATTATTGCTTTGAAATGCCCAATATCAAATACGTGACTCTCAAATAGAAACCCAAGTTTGTTTTTTTACTTGTGATAAACCTTATAATTGAAACATGCCATGTCGTTGGTAATTATGCATCAAAATTGAATTGAAAGTTTTGCAACCGTAACATTAGTTGTATCACGTGTAATTTGAAATATATCAGTAAAGAAGGCAAACAGTTCAAACCATCAATAATAAAATGTCTTCTTACAATGACTTTGGTGAAAACTCCGCAAGAAATACGTTACACGAGGAAGTAACTAGTCCCACTCCTGTATCCTTGAATTTGATCATACAGGACATTGAGCAACTGGAAATCTGATTTCTTGGCAGCAAACATCACGAGTTAAAACAAAACAAAATATCAATATGTGCCATTTTACATACGCGTAACTATATACTTTATTATAGTAGAAATGTTATTGAAATGTGGGTAAGGAAAGGACCGTTATGAGAAGGAACAAGAGACATACTGAGTGACATGCTAGATAGAACGGAAGAAGATCTGAATCATGGAAGAATTAGAAAACATTAAATTGGTTTGAAAATGCTAAGAGTAGAATACCAGGCAAGACTAACCATGATTAAAGATGTTGAAGTTAGTACAAAAAACATGAAAATGAAGTCATGGACACATGGAAAAAACTATTTTGAAATATTTAATAGACCAAAACCACTACATAGACTTGAATTTGCTGAGAACAAGTAATGAAATCAAGAAACACAAAAAGACAAACCTCAGCTGAAGAGAGATAGTAGAAAGCCCTCGAATGATAAAGATCCAGGGAATAAAAAAAAACATATCTACTAATTGAAAAATTACTGTTAATTCCAGTACATAAACAGAAAATGTACTGGATTGTAAGAATTATAGAGGTATTACATTTCATCAGTGTATAAGATACGCAATAAAATCGTTTACAAAAAAATATGATAAAACTGTCCCAGACTATCAAACAGAATTCCAGATCAAGAAATCACCTATAGACTAAATTTTTGTGGTAAGACAGATTTTAGAGCAAATATCGGAGTATAAGGAACATTGTCACTTATTTATCGATTTCAATCAGGCCTATGATTGTATACGTAGGCAAACTCTGTAGAAGTTCATGAAAGAGTTTAGAATTCCTGACAAACCAACACAAAGAGTTAAAGTTTGTTTTAAAGGGAGCGAGCGTTTGGTGCAGGGGGAAAAAGTCAAACCGATACACAGGTTAGAAAGTGGCCTATGGCAGGGAAGTAAACATTGCTCTTCAATACTGCGCTAGATAAAACAGCGAGAGATATTCTACATAGGCATCATGAAGTGAGCCCGAGGTGGAATAACCAAAACCGAATTATAAATCTAAATGCATATGAATAATTGTAGACACTATGGCTAAAAGGGGAGAAGCGATTACAGAATTTACATTGTCTTTCAAAGATGAGAAGATGGAATTAATCATAAGTGAGGAATAAACGAAGATTACAGTATGTAGGAGTGATGAACTTAGAGAATAATTGAGAGTAATGAACATGAATATTGAATATGTGAATAAGTTTAAGCATCTGGGAACCAAAGAGACAGGAGATAATAAGATGAAGAGAGAGGTGATAAATAGAATTGCAAGCAGATATAGAATATTCTGGAGCTTACACGTAATGCTAAGGAAATGAATTAAGTGTCAAGTAAGAATATGTAACACTTATAAAATCAGTTGTCCTCTATCGATCTGAAGCATGGTCACTTACAAACTATTTTAAAAAGAAAGTCCAGGTCTTTAAGAATATAATTTTAGAACCAGTTTATGACCAAAATGAGAATAGATGGTGAAGACGACATAACCAAGAGTCGATGGGAATCAGCAGATTAATTCTTATTACAAATATAGTAAAAGCAAAGAGAATGAGATTGACATGTTGCCAGAATGGAAAACGAAAGATTGTTATGTTTGGAAGATCACAAGGTAGGAGACTCTTAGGAAGACTAGGAAAAAGATGGCGAGACAATTTTACAAAGGACGCCTTTGATGTCGATGTAGGAAATGAAGAATAATCCGAGATTGCACAGAGCAGGGAGAGATGGAAAAACTTCGTGAGAGCGGACAGCGGTCGATAGGCCTGGGTGCTATACGAGTAATGTAGAGTAGTAGGAAATTTATCATTATTTGACTATATCAAAGTTCGTAGAAAAAACCTTAACCTAAAGCGTTAAATACAGCATTTCTTTTGAAAACTAAAATGTATTGAAGAGTATGTCAATAACTAGTAACTATTTCGAAAACAAGTAATAAAAAAAATCTATCTTTATCAGGTTTTGTTTTTGTGGATTCTTAAAAAGTAGGTGTCCGACTTGTTGACAGTAAAGATGAATGAACAGCACTCACTACACTTGTTTCAATATCAAGATATGCATTCTGAACCAAGTACACACAAATACGTCAGCATAGATATAAACATTGCATTTTCCGTAGCTCTGCTACAATCTGCTCCGCTGGCCCACTTTATACATTTCGTCCCATAGTCGGTTCGCCACCACCCCTTCACTATCAGTTCACACGCGCCACTCTACAATAAAAGAGTCACAAACACAAAATACATCAGAAATTAAACAAAAACGAAATAACATTACAATGGTCATAAAACAACAAATCAATGACAGTCTTTTATATCATGACATAAATCCCTCTTCAGGATAAATACTTACAATATTGTCGTTTCCACGATATACAAATATTCTTCGTTCACATACAGTCTGATCCAACATTTGCAGTCCCTTTCGTAGCTTCTATGCAGAACCTGTAGTTCTGAAGGTACAACGCAAACCTCATGATCTTCATACTGTCCATCTTGCACTTCTGAATGTATGCAAATGGTTTATGTTCCGTCTGGATGATGAACTCCTTTCCATATAGGTAGTTCTGGGACTTCTAAATGGCAAATATGATTACCAGACACTCTCGTTCAATCACAGAGCAATTCTTTTCACTATTTGACAGCTTTTTACTTATGTATGTTACCGGAAACAGTCCCTCTTCATATTCTTGTAAAAGTACCGCCCCAATTCCAATGTCTGAAGCATTAGCCTGGACAATGAAAGGTTTGTCGAAGTCTGGCATTCTAAGAATTGGCGAGCTTCTTAACATGTTCTTTAATTTCTGGAATGCCACCTTGTGTAGTGGTCTCACTTCACCTTGTTCGGTAAGCCTTTCTTGGTCAGGTCAGTCAATGGTGCAGTAATTTCAGTATAATTTGGGATGAATTTCCTGTAGTATCCCACTAACCCCAGGAGAGATCTGACTTGCTGGTTAGTCGTTGGAGCATCTTGTATGCGGATTATCTTTTCCATGGCTATCTTTTGGTTCACAACTATATGTCCAACAAACTTTAGCATAGCATATCCAATGTAGCACTTCGATGGTCTGATGGTGAGGCTTGCTGCTCTAACTTGTTGGAACAGTTGATCAAGTCTCATCAGGTGGTCTTCCCATATTACAGTGTATGTCAAAACATCATCCGTAT